TACGTGAGAATACTTCAATTACATTATCATTTATCCTATTGATCTTTAACAAAGGTCTAATTAATTTTACCAAAACGGATGAGCACCATTACGATCACTAACTGATTAATTGAGTATGCTGCTTGAGAACACCCTAAATTCTGTTTTTTTTTTTCTATATGATAGTACTGTATATTATTAGAAAAATGCACCACTTCATTTCTGATTTCGGAATATTGAATTTTTCAAACTCACACTTACTTTCAAAATAAGCTATTTCGGATTCACCCTATTCAATAAGGTTTGCCTCTTTATTACTTGGAATCGAATATTTATAGGAAAATCTTCATTTGAACCATTTCGAAATACTTAAAATGATAATTTAAAAATTTCATCATTTGCAGCTTGAGATCTGATCCTATAAAAAATATAATTTGTACATTTCTATTATTTTTTATAAATACCATGAATTTGCAACATGATTGGGTAGGTCAAATAATTTCTTCATTTGAAAGTATAAATTCCATAATACGTTATATTTATGAATAAATCGTGGAAAAGAAACGCGGATTGGCTTTTTTTATAAGGTGACAAATGCTAGAATAATTGAATACATGTCATTTAAGTTATATTTTTATTCATAAATGTTGAATGAATCAACACTATTTAAAATAGATGCTAGTTGACTTAGATGAATTAGCAAAAAATTGCTGGTTTAATATTACAACAATAACAATTATTATCTTTTAAAAAGACGTATTTAAAAAACGGCAATTTTTTTCATTCAGTACATCAGTACCAGCTTGTGTAACTCTGCGTAAATTAAAGTTTTTAAAATTTTGAACAAAGATATCTCGGCAACTATCTAAGCAAATTCGATGAACTTTTTTTTTTTGATTTAATTATACAGATATGTAGTGCTAATATAAAAAAGTTCATCGAATTTGCTTAGAGTTGCCGAGATATCTTCATTCAAAGTTTGAAAAATGCCTATTAACCTGAAGTAATAATTTTTTTAAAAAAATTGAACGAAGATATCTCGTCAACCATCTATGCAAATTTGATGAACTTTTTGTTTAAATTATACAAATATGTCAAATTAAAACAAAAAAAAAGTTCATCGAATTTCTTAGGCGGCTGCCGAGATATCTTCGTTCAATTTTTTTAAAAAAATTATTACTTCAGGTTAATAGGCATTTTTCAAATTTTGAATGAAGATATCTCGGCAACATCCGATGAACTTTTTTTTGTTTTAACACTACATATCTGTATAATTAAGCCAAAAAAAAGTTCGTCGAATTTGCTTGATCAAAATTTTAAGAATTTTTGATGTATGTATGGTTACACAAACCAATGTACGAAAAAAATTGCAGTAAAAAAACAACAATATAGACTTCATATTGGTCCAGAAATAATAAAGTAAGGGTTTAGTGTCACTCAAATAATAGATACAATATTTTCTGTTACAATAAGTCTTATAGATTGTAAAGTGACAAATGGATTTGGTATTTTTTGAAATAAATTGATTAATAAATGTCATAATTTAAAATTTCTACAGTACTCTGAATCGATAACGACTGAGTTAGTACTATAATTTTAAATGTGTTTTGTCGACTTACAAGATTCAAATACAAAATCAATTATTTTATTTATACTATATTCATTTAAAAAAGTGAATCGAATTTATTTATTTTTTTTTTTTACATTTGCACCAGCAAATGTAAAAACGTACTATAATCAATTAATTTATTACATTAAAAATAAATATTTGGGTACACGGTTGACGTGAGATATAAAAGAAATGAATTTTAAATATCTCAAATTTGAACTTATGATTAGACTCTTAAATTAGGATCATCAAAAATTATCAAATATCTCGGGAGCGTTGCCTATATTGAATTATTTATTTTTAGATAATTAAGTAAAAAAATGAATAATACAATATTAGAAATTTATTATTAGATAAATACCTTCTCTTTACTAGTAACAAAAATACCCAAGGGCTGGGCTCTGGCCACATAGACAATAACGAACATGACTTTAACTTCAATACCAGGACTACAATATCCCAGAGAGATGGCAGACTGTTGCGCAAACCACATTTCTAACAATAAATTGAATAAAGAAATTAAAAAAAGATAATTCATGAAAATTACACGACTGCAAAAGAAAAAAAAAAGAATCATACTTCTTGCACCATTTTTTCGATTTCCTTGTTGCATACTATGAAATTACCAAATTAGAAAATGATCCGAATAAATAACCAAGTATTGTCTTAGGGCGTTCTTAAGCATCTACCTCAATTAATTCAATAAAAAATCTGATTGGCTAGTTTGATTAAACAGACCAATCAGATTCGTTATTGAGTCCATGGAGGTAGTTGCTTGAGAACGCCCTTAATTTGTAATTGATTTTCCACGTACTCATAACTATATACTCTAAACCACTCACCGCCTTTAACACCCTAGCATCATCTAACTCTCTATCTTTCACACTTGTTATAGCAATATTGACGTTCAATACTCACTTTAGCCTATTTAACTTCACAAGCCCAACCCTATATAATGAAAGTTTT